TACCCTTAGCTCTGAGTCACGCCGTTTAGGGTTTAGGGTTTTGCCACCTAAGCCACAACTCTACCAGTAAAGTCTCGCAGCCGTACAAACACTGCTCCTAGCCCTAAACCAGACCTCAAAGGTCCAAGTATCTATATCTATATATATATATACGACATATATACATGTCTAACAAAATCATGGTTAATAACTCTTCCCCCAAACCCTACTCATACTGGTAATCGGGTTCGTAATAGAGCGAACGTTTGGCTGAACGGATGACATATAACATATTGGGTACGGAATAGAGTGAAGGCTTCGCCAAAATGATAACCAGAATTGATCCCGGCAATGGAAAGCTGATTGAGAAACAAGCTTGCCAAAATCTGATTGAGGACCTCGGACTAATTGAATCCTGTACTTGTTCGTGCGGGGCTTATTAATCAGAACGCAGCATTAAACCCTGAACCCCACATTTTTGAGCTTCCCCTCCAAAAAACTAGGGTCCCCTTTGGGGAGTCCTATTGTCCCACAAAACTACTTGAGAGCGAACTATAGAGTCCTCAGTCATATTTTGCCCTTAGAATGCAACCCCTGTACCCGAGCTCCTAGTACACGGCGCAGGTCGCCAACCTAAGAGAACTCAGAGAGCAAAATCTCATCAACGTTCGGGCTGTATGAAGCAACACTTCCATGCAATCCTGGAACGGGCGGAAGCTGTCTAAGTCAGCAAAGGCAATGTTAGATGTACTTGGATCCTCAGAAGATTTAGGGGCATCCTGAAAATCCTAGGAAACATCTGTGGGTCTGCAGAAGAAACGTGAAGATTTGGGGGTGGACGGGATCATTCGCCTCCAAGAGGACAGTTCGGATTCTACGAGCGCGTGACAAGGAACCCATTCTTGCGAAAAAACAAATCTATGCCGGCAACGGAATGGACGGGTTTTAGAAGCTCAGCAAAATCGCACATACGTCTTAGCTGTGCAAAGGTCATGGACGACCTCTACGTATTGCCCCGATATAACCCTATATAATATAATGGTTTCCATCTTAATTTCCATTATCCCAATATAACTCCAATATAACCCCAATGGGTCCCTAGAGACTCCCAGCTCAACAGCGCTGCCAGAGCCCTCTTTCATGAGCAAGTGATATACGGAAACTTAGTAGACAGTTGAAGGATCAGCACCAATCCTAGCACCTAACCTACATACGCACAGCTCATGCAATCCCTGCATGGTCCCCACGTTCTGACATAATGTTGCAGCCATTTCTGCTACAGCCTGAAAGTTGTGGCATTCATAATGGCCCCTTGACCCAGAACTACACAATCCTGAGCCCTAAACCGCAAAGAGCCCTTGGCAAGGAGCTCCAAAATCCCCAGCCCAAGAACCGCTGTGTTGGTCCCAGGAACACGTGCGCGCTCCGGCACCTCCACGTGGAATCCTCATGAACACCATCAGCTGGACCCAAACGCTAAAACTCTACATTTACATTCGAGGGTGAAGTTTCTGGGATTTGTATATGCTAGTTTCCTTGAACAGGGGAACCCCAATACAGGTCCCCAAGTACTATAATCCTTATATTCTGAGGACCCCCAAAAAGGTACCCCATAATTTTGGGAATCCCTCATAACCACGCAAATACCACTAGTTTTAGGAACCCCCTAAACCCTAAACCCTATATCGTAATTGTCTTTTTGCTAGCCATGATCCCTGTATACTCCCTGTATAAGCCCCATATATAGGTCAGCAGCAACGTGCGGGCTTTAGCCTTGCAAGTTTCTGGCTTTCATGTAATGCTGGACGCTCAGAGGTATGCAAGGCGATAAACTTACTGGTGATTGCTAGGGGATAAAAATATCTATTGTATAGGATCAAGGCTCTAGAGTTACTAGGGTAGAAGGGAACATATCATATAGAGATTACGGGATCATATTCTCTCAGTCTCTACAAATCACCAATGAGAAAAGTGCATGCTGGCGTGCATCAGCATGACGTCCTGCGGTGCAGCTGAGTTGGCAGAGTGCCATTTAGGGCAGGGAACTGCCAAGGTTGCGTGACGGCCATAGGGGCACAAAACCTTAGTCTTATCTATACTCGTAAGTATGTGAGACCATAGGATAGAACCTCCTTATAATTAGCTTAGGATTAATCGCTACCCAGAGAAGATGCCACCATCGCAGAAACTCGTAGCATGTTTGATTCAACGTCTTAGGCCCAGGATGGTCCCTCCTCCCCCAAATTGGACCTATGGAAACTACTGTCGGTTTAGGGGGGGGCCATGATATGGGCTTCCATGCTAGCTTGCGGGTGGGTATCCCTTACGAAGTTCGTTAACATCAGCCATCTGCAAGAAAATGCATGGATCTGAGACCCTGAGCCGCCTGAGCCTTAGGGCTTCCCTGATCTCCTAAACCCTAAACTCTAAACCTTAAACCCCAAAAACCCTAAACTCTAAACCCTAAACCCCTAAACCCTAAACCCCTAAACCTTAAACCCCTAACCCCTAATCCACTAGGACCTACCATGAGTTTCTGGACACATGCCCAGGCACACCGTGACTCCTATATCCCGCCCCTGTAGGCAAATGCCGGGTTTAGTTTAGGGGTTTAGGGTTTAGGGTCAGATATTTGGGCCCAATGTATAGGTATTATTTATGGACCCAGACCCCTATGTAGGCCCTTTATAACACTAGTTTCCATTCAATTTCCAGGTGTTCCATGTGCTTCTCCATTATTTGGATTAGTTGTAGACCTGGGCGCCAGGCTACATGACAAGCCTGAAGCGCAGCCCTTACCCCACAAAATTGAAACGAGAGTCGTGAAGCCACCGAGGAGCGACCCGCCTGGCTCATCTGAAATACGGTTAGCAAGCTTGAATTATGTTGCTGCTATAGGGAAATCACGATGGTTACCATATGTTTCATATACCCATAATATTATGGCCACTTAGTTTTGGAGGCTCCTAAACAGCAATCCAGTAATTGGTGGCAAGCCGGAACGAGGGAATCAGAGGCAGCAGGGGTTTGGGCTTGCAAAAATGTACGATCTCCGTCCAGACATTGGTGAGTAGCCAGTTTGCAAAGTAAACATGTAGAAGATGAGAGTCTGCATGCTGCAGTCCTTGAAGACGTCACCGCTTTCTGCAACGTGGCATGGAAAACACGTGCCTGCAGAGAGGAGCTAGTGAAGTCGAAGGGAAAGATCCCAATGAGTAGATGGCTCCCAAAAAATTGTTCCTCGAAATCTGTCCCCTTAGGTTCTTAGGTTGGTCCCTGGATCCCGTTAGAGCATGGGTCCAAGGTTGGCCTGCGCAAGCCCAACATACTGTTTAGACATGTTGAAATCACCTATATGAGCCCAGGTAGCTACACTCATGTTGACCATCTGCATCTGGTTCACAACTACAAACACCTGAATGTTGGTGGAGGCAGCCTAGACTAGTTAGGATTCGACAATGCTTTTCAAAACATCAGCCCATGCAGAAAAGAACCGAAGGACAACCCCTTCGGAAATCCTGTGCCCCAAGCATGCTAAAGTCTAAACCCTCAGACCCCAGAACGTATGAGCTCTAGTCTAAACAGCTGGTGTCCCCCTTAATAATCCCCTGTAATGCTGCCGTATGGAATCCCCTACATTAGACTATAGCTCATACGAGCCCTGGAGCCCTAAACCCTAAACCCTGAAACCTCAAACCCTAAAACTCTATAGTCCCCCTTAAGTAGATAGAATCTGGGGTATGTGGGGACCCTATGATAACATACCCAAAGCCATATTCCATCTGCTTAAGGGGGACTATATACCCTAAAACCCCAACCCCTACTCCCTTCCGGCCTTTAGGCAGTGTATTCTAACCGTCTGCGTTGGCTCGTGCTCTCCACAAGCAGGGGTGCCGAGCTCCGTAGTCCGCCCCATGGCGGTTTAAGGTTCAAAGTTTAGGGGTTTAGGGGTTTAGGGTTTAGGGTTGAAGGGTTCAGGGGTTTAGGGTTCAGGGTTTAGGGGTTTAGGGTTCAGGGGTTTAGGGTTTGAGGGCGTAAGAATTTAGGGTTTAAGGGGCGTAAGGGTTGAGGGGCTCAGGCTTCAGGGTTTAGGATTTTATGATCCAAGCTTTTGGAGTTAGGGTTCAGGGGGTGGTGGACGGGCTACCTTACGAAGGTTGGAATGACAGTAGCCGCTGCCTTGAACCCAGCGAGTAATGGCTGGGTTGGCCCCTAAAACCCTTTGAAACATATTGGCATATAGGGTCCCTTATTAAAGCCGGTAGGGAAAATCATTGAATGTCCCAGGGGCCTACCCAGATGGGCGAGCTTGAAAAGGCAGCTTCTTGCTTCAAAGTCAATCGTTTTATCCTGTTGCTGTCATCACTACAGACAGTCTGCTTCTCACTACGGCATCTACGATCTTCTCGATAAGTGGTTCTCGTTAGTTAAACTAGGATTTCAGGGTTTAGGGTTCAGGGGTTGAGAGGTTTAGGGTTTGAGGGTTTTAGGGTTTAGTTGAGGCTGTCCGGGCTACCAATACTGAAGGCAAGCACTCGACAGACTGAGCCGGTACTTGCATCCAACAACTGCAAGCTGCAGATGCCTTTTTGGAGCGAACAATGCAGCCCTTGACGACCTTAAGTCTGGGATCCCAAAATGTGAAGTTTGCTCGGTGTACATCCCTTCAGATTCAGAGTCCACAGTCCTGAAATACCAGGATGCGACCGACAAGACCCCTCTAGTTTCTGTTACGGTCCAAAGTTGCCAAGGTATCACCCAGAGATCTGGCCACTTCGAAAATGAGAATTTGGTAGCCGCAGCGAAGCCCCTTGTTTTCTAGGATGTGGCAGAATACATGCGACTTCACTTCCCTCAAAGCCAGAACCCCCTCCCCAACCCGAAGCTGCCAGATTTGCCAAACGTCAACTGAGTCATCTGACAAGCCGTTTAAAACTGCAAAGGACCTATTCCTAATAAGCGTTGACGATGAAAAAAGACCATGGGCTTCGTAAACATACCCTGAATGCCATGGGCGGGGCCATAGTTGCAGCGGCCCTCCAGGAAGTGGCGGCATATGTCGCGCTCCGCGGGCTGCGTGATCCTGCCATGGTCTGCCAGGTGTCCAAGCAAAGCAGCACCGGCAGCAACGCAGTAGCAAAGCAACCATAGCCGTGCCGAAGCAACAGCAACTGAAGTAGCATTCGCCAACCGTGCTGAAGGCGAGAAGACGGAGAGGGACATTCGGAAGCTAGCTAGCGAGCGAGCGAGCGAGAACGAGAGAGAGAGGGAGACTCCCCACGCAGGGCTGGCAACTTGTCGTCAAGGAAACCCTCAACCAAGTGAGCTGGGTTGCATGTTCCCATGGCCAGGCCAGCGCGCGGGCATGCACAAGAAACGACTCTACATCATAATCATCCAATCGAGAAGGTGCACGACTCAGATCATGCGAAGTCTGCGCGTCTCAGTGAACAAAAACCTATGGGGTTCCTAGTTCATGGCGGGAATGAACCAAAGCGGGTTCTTCAATTCTAGCAGGTCCATAGTTCATGGAGGGATTCAATAAAGTGGGGGTCTCGAATTCTAGAATGCATTTCTAGGCACCCCATAACCATCATGTTCCTCCTTTGTTTCCGTGAGGGCGGTGCAAGATATAGTATTGGGTTATCCTTGAACTCTGCCAGACAAATCATTAAGCTTAAGCCCCCAAATCCTGAACTCAAAAAACCTGAGCCCGAACCCCAAACCCTATAAGCCCTAAACCCTAAACGCCTATAAACCTAAACCTACCACACATAGAGGTCCTCACCCAGGGCTGCGGCACGGTGGCCACCTGGAGATGTCCCAAAGCAGGGACACCCTGTGGAAGCCCGTAGGAACATATGGGAGTTTCTCGCAGTGGGTGGGGGCGCTAGGGACACAAAGGGATATGTAGGGATTAGGAGGGGATTGGAGTCCCTATTGGATTACAAAGGGTTGTTTTGAGAAACACCCGTATGGTAAGGATATGAAAGCAGTGGATTCTGCAACCTCCCACCTCATGAGAGAAGGAACAGCTGTCGCCAAAGTTGCAGCGACCTGGCAGGAAACAATGCCCCGGCATGCGACGGGCTTTTTTTGCTGTGCACATGTTGAAAGCCATAAATTTGGGCACCTTTGGGCACTGAGTATATATGTATATATACGTATATACCATACTATATCCGACCATGGACTGTTTGATGTTGATGGGTTAGGCCCTGGGGTCGGCTGCGACTGGTGCTACTCGGTAGCATAGCCCGTGGGGACCTGAAGGATTACCAAAACTCTGTTGCGGTCTAACTTCTCTAGGGTTAAAACCATTGGCCCTTAGTATGGGCCCTTAACCCTGGGATCCTTATATGCTTCCTATATTCCCTATATGTACCCGTAAGGGTCCCTAAAAAGGCCTAAGGGCCCATATTAGGGGCCCATACTTCTAACCTTCTAACTTCAGGTATCCTATACCATAATTATGTAAGGAGCCTGGGACCATGATTGCAAGGATTCCGAAGGGTCCCCTGATTTCTAGAAACCCTAAACCCTAATCAATGAGCCCTAATCCCTATAGACCCTAATCCATAATTACACCCTGATTCCTAAACTCCTGAACCCCTAAACCTTAATCCCTAAACCCCTATACCTTAATCCCTAAGCCCCTTAACCCTAAACCTTAATCCATAAACCCTAAACCTTAATCCCTAAACCCCTATACTCCCTAAATATCGGAAGGGACGACCTCTTCATGCCCTTCGCGCCTTGCAGAAAGTGCCGGCAGACTGAGCTCGCCTGAAGGCCAGAGGTCAGAGGAATGAGATATGTAGGTTTTTGGGGTTTGAGGGTTTAGGGTTTAGGGGTTTAGGGCTTAAGGTTTTAGGGTTTCATGTTTAGGGTCCAATTTTGGTACAATTAATTTAAGGGCCCGAAATATTAGGTGCCGTAATACAATCTATAACAGAAAGGGACCCATAGTTTTGAGAACGACCCATGCATGTTTTTAGGGTTTGGGGTTTAGGGGCTTAGGGATTAGGTTTTAGGGGTTTGGGGCTTAGGTTTTAGGGTTTGGAGTTTAGGGATTAGGGATATAGGCTGTAGTGGATTAGGCATTGCGGTTTAGGGTTTCGGGCTTAGGGTTTAGGCTTTGGGGATTAGGGTTTAGGGTTTAAGGATACTGGGGGTTTACGCTGTATGTTTGAAGGTCTTAGGATGAGGGTGGTGGGTTAAGGACATTATATTGGGGTTATAATGGGATAATGGAAACCATTATAATATATTGGGGTTATATAGGGATAATGGAAAAGAAAATGGAAACTACTATAGTATATTGGAGATATAATATCATCATGGTACAATACACCCACAGCCAGTTTCTGAGTTAGGTCATGGCAGTCTTTCTGCAAGTAATCATGGGCTTACAGTATCAAACGAAGTTCCACGGGTCGAGGTTATACTAGAAGCAATAAGCTCCAATGTGCTGTCCCAAAACCCTAAACCCTAAACCCTAAAACCCTAAACCCTAAACTCTAAAAGAACATCTTTTTCCTGGTTCCGAGGCTCCACTGGCCCCCCATCTCGACGATCGTTGCGCCAAGCCATCATCCGCTGCTGCAGCTCCCCACTTGTCGCCCAGAGCGAGTGGGACTCCGACGGTGACTGGGTGACACAAGTTGTGCTGGAGGAAGCGGGCTGCCTTCTTGCCCTGAATAGTAGTTTCCGTTTTATTTTCCATGATCCCAGTATAACCCCAATATAAACCTTATTGTGATAGTGTTGTTCTTGTTGCTTCTTGGCCTCCGCAGCCTCAGCAGCTGATGATGTTGTGAAGGCGGATCGGTCCGATCCGTCCGACCCCTCGCCAGACCATCCAAAAGATCCAAAAAATGGCACCCCCTAATATTACCCTAGTTTCCCCAGTGTAGTAATGGGTTCATATTGGGGAGGTTCCACTTTTTGGATCCTTTAGGGGGCCTGTGTCAATCTCAGCAACACTGCTGGCGGGTACGGACAGCAGACTGCAGGCTGGTCAGATTGGGCCTAAACTAGAACCTCCCGCACGTGCAGGATGTGCTGCACACTTGATTACCACTATTTCTATTTCTACTCTTTTTAAGTACTGTACTATATTACTGTTATTGCTTTTCTTACCAGTCTTACCAGTACTATTCTGATGATTGTTGTCGCACCCTCTACCTTAACACCACCAGAGGTGAAGTGCTCAGCCCTCGCGCGGCAATGATCCTAGCAGGGGGATGGTTGCACCCGCGAATCTGTCGATCACTGACCACTCCGTGTTCTACTCGCTAACCCAAGTCCAGGACCTCTTCACGGCTCGAAACCCTGGTCCCTCAACCCCATACCATGTAATAGTTTCGATTTCATTTTCCATTATCCCTCTATGTCCCCAGTATACTATAGTAGTTCCATTCCACTTTCCATTATCCCTATAGAACCCCTATGAAAACCCTATACCCCTAAACCCTAAACCCTATATGCCCCGAGGCGGGCCTGTGCCATGGTACCGAACCTACTTGCGGCCCATGGCGTACGAATCAGCAGCAGCCCAACAGTTAAGTATAATGCTTTAGGGGGATTCTATAGGGATTATATAAAGGGTTCAGGGTTTAGTGTCCCGTGTTGGTGGGAACGTGGTTCAACTGCATTTTTCTACTAAACCTAAAAAGTGTAAAGTGCACTTATTGAGCTACTGAACTAGTAGCAGTGCTGACACAATGGCTTCCAGCTGAGTTTGTGCAGTAAGTGAGTCGGGGAGGGGGTTCATGAGGATGTGAGGTTGGGTTCGGCTGTCTCCAAGTGATGGTCGCATGTCAAAGCACTTTGACAGGGGAGGTCGCTGCGCTGAGCGCTACACAGGCTGAACTGCTTGAGACCTAAGATTATTGTTTATAGGTCTTGAAGGCTGTAAAGCATCATAAGCTGTTATTCTGAAATGTTTGGGCCGTAGAGTCTTCACGCTGGCGTGGTACCCCTCAGCAACATTCAGCAACAATATGGCAATGCCTTTCCTCTTGTGGTGGTGGTCGTGGTGATGGTTGTGACTTTGGTGGTGGGGCGGCGGCAGCGGCGAGGTGGAGGAGTGGAGTGGTGGTGCGGCTGGTGGGCGGTCAGTGTGGGAAAGGGCGGGAGCGGGGGCAGTGGGGTGGTGGTGGCGGCAGCGGCGGTGGTGGCAATGCGAATGTGGTAGGTATTCTATCATCTGGGCAGCCTGACTAAACACGACGTCTTGCTGAATGAGCCGTGTCACCAAGTCAGAATCATACTGGCAACATAGACATCAGGGGCAACAGCTCACGAACTAATCAGGAGTTAAAAGCTCTTACCTACATAGAAGAAGAAGGGCCTCCCAAGATTGAACTTCCTGGTGCAACTTGCCGTCTCGCGGCGCCAATTGGTAGAATGAAGAGACCCCGCACGATAACTGCCGGTAAGTTGAGTTCCTTTGATAAAGTGGCATGTTGACATTGAATGTGTGCCAGAAACTCGGCACGCAAACTTGCAAACTATGCCCTGAACACCAGACCCTGCATCCTGTGCACGTTGCGGCGACGCGTTCTGAAACTGTTCGACCACGGCATATGCGCAGGCTTAGCTCTTTCAGCCTTGGCTCTACAAGAGCGCAAACAAGGTCTACGATGCAGGGTTTAGGGTCCTGCAGTTAAAGCAGTTGCTTCTGTCTCGGCATGCTGAGTGCCGCTTTGCGTGAGGGCGCTTTTCCAAACAATGCAACACACTTTGCTACCACAATGCCATCGCAAAGACACCTCCTTCATGCGTACTCCATGCGGCAAAAAATGCTGCCGTAGACTTAACGCACCATATCGCTCCTGAAGTATGTTCCCTGCAAACCCCTGCACAACCGACTTTAATGAAATGCCTGTCAATGCATCCCGTGAACTGAAACCATGGCTTTTGACAGTGTTGAACCAATTACGAGGTTTCTTCTCATTCTCATAGAAGACTCTACTCAAATCGAGTTACGGACTATAGCACAACCAGAAAAACAATACCACTCATGTTGTTTGGAAAGGTCTTCGAGAGTTGTCTCTCAATGGAGGGGCTTCCTCATCTGGGATTTGGAATGCTTGGACTAGGTTTTGTTGGTGGGATGGTAAAGGACTAGTTCTTGCCGCCCTCGGACCAAAGTATGTACACACTCTATGTTCCCCAGGCTACACATGCTGAAAGCTGCGGAAGACGCCATTTCTGTAAAAGGCAAATCTTAAATGCCTTGCAATTTTGTGAAGCGTGGGTATGCGGGGAGGGGTGCGTGGCATGCAGATGGTTGATGGGGGGAGGCGGAGGTGGGGGTGGGTGACCGGTGGGTGAGGGGCATAGAGGCGCGCATGCAAAGACTGCTGGTATCAGCATTTGTGATCGTTTTTGCTTGAGCGAAGCATGTTCCAGCGCAACCCTCTTTGGCTTTGCCTCTTTACCGCCGACACCCGACATTTTGGGGAAAATACTTGCCGGGAGGGAGGGGTGGCTAGCTCTTCCAAATTTACTGGAATCCTGGAAGACTATTGCATTTCTCATTCTAACACGGAAGGTCACCGTAGATCCTCTAAAGCGCAAACTCTCAACATAAACTCCCGAAATCCTCAGGAATGTCAGAAGCAGGTAACCCAACAACACCGTGACAAACTACATCGAAGCCCCAACCCTGAGATTCTGGAAGCCCCATGCTTTGGGCTCAGGGCTTAAGGCTTAGATCTTGAAGTTTCGGAATGTTGGGTTAAGCCAGGGCTTCCCAGACCGCCTAAAGGATCCAAAAATGGAACCTCCCCAATATGGACCCATTACTACATTGGGGAACGAACCTATGGGATTATTTGGGGGTTCCCTTTTTTTGGATCCTTTAGGGGGTCTGGGTTAATTACAAGAATTTAGGCCAAGCAGCCAGACATTGACGAAGTGGATGGGCGGCCCCCGTAAAACGGCTATCTTCGCCTCATGTATTTTTTGGGGGTATTTCAGCAAAAAGGAAACCCTGACAAATCCCGAGATGTAGTGGGGTAAAATGAGGAGATGACAGGGGTCCCCCC